TGTCTTATCAGTATATTTTGGAATCGAAAAACTAAAGATAAGACATAACGAGGATGACACATACACGCCTCGTGTTCGACCTGGATATCGAAAACAAAGGGACGTGAGCGTGTACACTGATAACGATTACATAGTTTGTTGATTAGCTGAATCACCAAACTTTATCATTTTTGTAATGATGATGTAATTCTAGATGTCACTCTTCGTTTATAATTATAAATGAGATTTATAGTTATTGTTAACGTGATAAAATCTCAATGGGTCACATGCATAATATGTATATCTAATTAAGAAGAATAAATAATCAAAATGCTTATTCATTATTATCTTATTATATCTGATTCTATCTTATTAAATCAAATTATAGCTAGCTTGTTTTTGACAAGTGTGGGATATGATTGACAAATATTGACTTGTCAATATATAGTGTAAAGAACAAGCAAGCCTTTAGAAGATATAAGATCTTCCAAAAACTTGTGTCACTCTTCGTGCAGATATAAGATCTTATGTAAATAGAGACCATTGTGAGATAATGGATGGATGCCTTTTATGAAGATTGCAAACTTGTTCATCAGATCAATTTTTTTCTCTCTATATTCCACAAGTTTCTCATCCATTCCCAAAGAGTTGGAGATCATATCTAGCATTCGAGAAAAAGAGGATCTCCTCTCTTGGCATTGGAACTGGATTCAATGTATTGGCATGGATACCGTGGAGGCAACGAATTGAGTTCGTTACTAAGATTCAGATAATACGGGTAAATTTTGGAACACCCATCCTACTCTGTTTTCGTGTGGATTCTTGGAGGAATAAGTTATTTTACCACTCGTCAAGATAGTGGATTCTTGGGTAAAATATCAAGAATAGTGCACCGCACACGCCGTCATCTACTGGGTACGTGCAGAATAGTACTTACACTCGTCTCCTACCACTCGAGATACGTGAGTAAACGAACCGGTATGTCACACCCAACCTCCGTCTTCCTGGGATGCGTGGACATATACCGCTTTCCAGCGTACCATATGAAGTAGTACCGGTATTCACGGTTTACCAAGATATCAACAAAAACAGTCGTGGATCTGGACTCGACCGACATTGCGGAACGATCATACGAATACAAACTGGAACCAGAGGGACTCACTCATGTTACACCTTACCAAAACATGAACACAACTAATACAAACATAAAATGCATACACATATAAGTACACATAAACATGTATTTCATATAGACTCACAGTGCATAAAATGGGTCAACTGAATGTCTCGTTCCAACTCCGTAGACCAAGTATGTATGACACTCCAAAAGATTCCAGTTATACTTTCATACTCCCTAGAGTATACACATTCAATTCCATAAATATATGATTACACTATCTCATTCAATTTCATTCCTTAGTTAGCTAGTTCTATTCCAATTCCCCTATACAGTCCCCTGTTCTAACACCTTTAGACCAACTTAAACTCGGGATTACATCCTAACTTCTAAACAAGAAATAAAGTAGACACTTTTATCTTCCAGATGCCATTGACTTCATGTCCATTGGATTTTTCTTTGATTTTATACGAATTTTCCAAATAAGACAGAAACATTGCCTTTTATGTTTCAAAATGGCTATTTTAACAATCTTGTATCCAAACCATTCACATTTGGAGCCAAATTTAGATTTTTATCTCAAAATATCAAAAACTTTATAAAAATAGAAAAACCCAAGCCTTATTCATCAAAATCATCATTCTAGAGCTTGATTTTGAAAAGTCATACTTGTGTTCATAATACAACATTATTTCAACTAATCCTTGAAAATAATCCATGTTTTTGGCCAAATAACAAGAAGTCTCCTCATATTTCTACAAAATAATTCCATCATTCATTCTATAGCTTAAACCCTTGTTGCATGAATCCAAATACATCAACAAAATCAAAATACCAACATTTATACCTCCAAATCTTCAAAATATTTGAAAATTCTCTTCAATTTCTCCAATATTTAGCTAGGTTTTAGCTTTAGGTGTCTGAAATCACACACACTTTGGTCTAGAATCTTGTAGAAGTAAAAATGATGTGAATAGATCTAATTCTTGTCACTTTATTGCACAAGCTCGTTTTGGTCGGGTTTGACGCGGTTGGGTTGACCAAGCATCCATTTTGACCACCAAACACTTAAAAATTCATAACTTTTCGCCCACGTGTTCGTAACAAGATAATTTATAACTTTCAACAAATATATTCCAAAAAAGGTGTTAGGAGAAAAGGTGTTAGGACTAAAATAGTCCTAAATGTTATGAAAGTTTAATTAAAACAATTTAGGTAAAGGATGGAAGGTTCAAATATCTGAATTGTGCTAAATCGACTAAGTTTAAGTCTGAAAGAGCAACCAGAGCCTCTGGTTAACTATACTCTGAAAGACTATTTTCAGATCTCTGGAAAAGAAGACTTCAGAGTTTGGGCGATCTTAAGGCGTACAAGTACAAGTCTGTAGAGATATTCTTCAGATCTTTAGAAAAGAAGTCTTCAGAGTTTGGACGATCTCAAGTCATACAAGTACAAATTTGAAGAAACATACTTTAGATCTCTAGAAAAAAAGTCTTCAGAGTTTGGGCGATCTCAAGTCATACTGAAAAGACATTATTTAGATCTCTGGAAAAGAAGTCTTTAGAGTTATTTCTTCAGATGACTTGAGGAGCGCTAAGTGTCAAATCTGAAGACGGAGTCTGAAGACCTTAAGTTCAGAGTTATTCTAACTCTGAATGAGATGATGATGGTGCTAACTTTGAATGAGAGGATGATGTTGCTAACTCTATAACAACCTATGAAACCCTTTATATTTCTTAAGAATTTGCCACAAATCCTCATTAGAGCATTATATTAACACATAATCCACCTTATTAAACACATACTACACATTAGAACACATTTAGAGGCATTTGCCAAGCATGTGAAAAAAAAAAAGAGTATGTTACAGTTAAGTCTTTGATCAACATATACACATTAGACATTAGACCAACTTGTAATTAGCTATAATCAAAACTATATTACAATTTCAACCGTAATTTTACTTTCTTATTTGTATAAATTTTCAACTTTTTTTTTATTTTTTGTTTCTCTTTTGTATATTCTAAAAAACAAAACGTTTAACTGGATTGTAGGAAAATGTATCAAAGCTTAAACTCAACCACCCCGACCAATCCAACCTGCACGGGTTGGATTGAATTGAGATTTTTTAAATCACGAATATTAGGTTGGGAAATTCAAATTCTTCAACCCGGTCAACCAACCCATTTGCAGCCCTACCCTTAGTTATAAGATGGAGAAAACTTATTTTTATTAATAAGGATAAAACTGTGTTTGAGTTAATTAAAAAGGGTATAATAATTAGATAATTCTAAAACTATGTGTCATTTTCGTTATTTGACATTTATTTTAGAATGAGTAATTCACCAACATTATAAGATAATACATTTTTGTTACTAATATAAACCCCATTTGAAATATGAACTAATAATTCTTCATATATTACATAATACATAAATGATTTATGAAGAATTCTCAAAAAAAATAATTCAACTTTTTTGTTGTTGAAATCAATGTCACCTTGAATGTGGTATACAAATTTTATTATCTTTGTAATAACTTATGATGTTTTCTCATAGCACCACAAGAAATTACTCATTGTGATTGATTGTTGCTTTATTACAAAACGTTTGATTGTTGTTAGCATGATTTAATCTTGTGTTTACATAGTAAATATCTATTAAAACACACTATAACAAAATTGGGTTTATTGGACGTCTATATTGTCTAAACGTCCTAATAGAATTATGTTTATATGACAAAACTATAAAGCATCCTATCTAAAAGCATTGCAATAAGTTTATAGGATGTTTTTAGGCATTTAAACAAGTTTTTTAGAACACTTTTATTAGCTATTTTACATGACACTCCTATAAACTCATTTTTTTATAAATTATTTGTGTTTATAAGACACTTTTTCAATTAGTATCGTATAAAATTAGTTAATATAACACTTTATTTAAAAAAACATTCTAGAATACTTGTTAAAACACCCAAAAGTGTCCTGTAAACCTATTGTAACATCTTTAGATATGACGTTTTTTAGTTTGGTCTTATAAACCACTACAACAAAATCGGGTTTATAGGACACTCCCAAATTGTAAGCGTCCTAATAGACCTATTTATAGTTCTTAGTTTATAGAACCAAAAAAATAAAGTGTCATATCTAATGGTGTTGTATTAAGTTTATATGACGTTTTTTGATGTCGTAACAAGTTTTTTAGAACACATTTAATAAAAAGCGTCTCATTATCAACTTTATACGACACTATAAAAAAAATGTCCTATAAAAGAAGTGTCCTATAAAAAATTGAGTTTATAGGACAATTTCTCAAAAGTGTCCTTTAAAGTTGCTAATGCAACACTTTGTATTAAAAATGTCCTTAAAAACTTGTTAAGACGCCCGAAAACGTCATATAAACTTATTACAAAACCTTTAGATAGGACGCTTTATATATTGGTTTCTATAAATTAAGTCCTATAAAACAGTCTATTGAAACACTTAGAGATTGTGGGTGTCCCATAAACCCAATTTTATTGCAGTGAACTTAAGTCCTATAAAGTATTTTTTTAGAATGTTTCTACATTTCAGCCGTACCAGAAAATCAATTCTATTGTGATCACAATATATTACTTCAATATACAATAAAACATACTGTAATAAATAAAATGTGAAACTGAATACTACTTCAAAATTAAATACTCCATTAAAATACATGTAGATTGAAGTTTCTAACTCTATCTATTTCTCTCTCCCTGTCTGATATAAATTCATATTTGCATGCAGCTTGCCACCTAACCCTTATGAGCTGGTGTTTTTTACTCTACAAATACAAAGAACCCTCTAACAACATCAATCTTGAAAGACGAGAATTGAAAGAAAGACGTGTGTATGGTATTACTTTCTGGCGATCATATCGTTTCGATGGAGACCTCAAAACCAACTACAGAACTGGTAACGAAGAAGATGCAAGGGTTGAAGGCAACCATGATGATGATAGCAGCTCAATTGGCAATTGCAGCAATCACTGTTGCCTATAAATTGGCAGCAAATGATGGAATGCATATGAGGATTATGGTTTTCTATCGCTACTTATTTGGTTCTGTAATCATTCTTCCTCTTGCTCTCATCATTGAAAGGTGTACTTTCTGTCTGTTGTTTAATATTATATTATAAATCGTGGAGTCTGTTTAATAAGAAGACTAAGGGGTTGTTTACTCAAATGCTTACCCGATAAGCGTTTACCAATAGGAGTTAACACTATAATTTATTTTGATGCATAGGATTTTAGTACATCAAAACATATCGAATGCAACAATTTGTTGGGTAAGCGCTTACATGGGTAAGAGTCGTCATCCTTACTTACCGGGTAAGACTCTCCATCATTTTCATCGCTCTTACTCAGTAAGATTCTTGGCCTTTCTCATGTTCATCCAATGAGAAAATTTATGACGTTAAGTACTTACCAAGTAAGTGTTTAGTAAACGACCCCTAAATATCGTAAGAATGTCTGTAAGAAAGGAAGTTTCTTATGTGAATCGTTGAAAAGAATCGGATTGAAGATGAATGACGTTACAGATTATTCATATGAGATCACGTATGCATCTTTAAATTGATGTTTTTAATGATACGTATATGAACATTCTTTTAACTTTCTCTTATTGCGTTCTCATGATATTTAGTCTTTTTATTTGAATATCATATTATAAATCATTCAAATAAAGTCTTAGAAACAATGTTATTTAATATTATGCACTATTTAGATCATGCATAATACATCCTAGGGCAACCACCTACTTTGCAGATAGCCCGGAGTCACCGCATTTGAACCTCCGTGGCCACAAGGGGATTTTTATTCTCCTTGGATTTGAACCTGGGACCTCCAGGTACTTTTGACATTTGGAGTCAAGCTCAAATCAATCAGACACCACACTTGTGTTTCTAAATTTAAATCATTGAAATCGGGCGTAAGTGATTTATTAGTGTTTTATACTTAAATTTGTATCTATAATTAATTAGAGATTATTTTGTATTACTATTTTATAAAAAAAAAAATCTGGATCTACCTCTATTAATAAACACAATCAATTTATAATACAAAATAATCATTTATTCATACCTCTATTGAATTAAATAAATTATAAAAACATGAGTATTTGTGAAATATGTTTATTGAATTTTTATAACTCTTGTTTAATTTACCTTTTTTTGTAAATGTTGCAGAAACAGAAGACCGAAGCTAACATGGAGAATACTCGTCCAAGCTTTTGTTTGCGCAATTTTTGGGTATGTCGTAAGTGCTACTTAATCACGTAAACGTGAACGTATTTTGTGTATGTTTGAATAAATACATAAAAAAGAAAAATTATTGATAGTTACTAAAAAATTTGACAACTAATTTATTGTTTAAGATCATACAATTTTAATGATAATTTTTTATATATAGATGAAAGATAGTGTGAGAAGAGTTAAGGTTAAAAGCATAAGAATGAATATGGACCCTTGATCACTTTAATTTCACCCTCATCTAATGAATTGCGGTTGATACAATAATTGATCTAGTGCATCTCGGTACATTTTATCAATGTTGATATTCAATTTGGACTGATTCAATTCTCATCGAAACTCAATCATATATATATATATATATATATATATATATATATATATAGGAGTAAAATTATGCAAAACACTCAATTTGTACAAAACGTACAAACCTCATTCAACCAATCATAATTTTTCATTTTGTTCATTTTTTTGTAATTATGAAAGGTTGATTAATCATTTTTATTGTGAAGGGTGTTAATCATGGATATTATCATCTTCATTATTTTAATTTTATAGAAATACATAAAACAGTTTCATTAAAATTTCATTAAGTATTATATGAAACAATTTAATAACAATATATGAAACAACTTCATCAAAAAAATATTATACAACTTCATCAAAAAAGTATTATATGAAACAATTTCATGAAAAAATTTCATAAGATTAAATAATGAAATCGACGGATGAGGGTGGTTTGCACGGTTTGTACAAATTGGGTGGTTTGTATTTGATCGCTCCTATATATATATATATATATATAGAGAGAGAGAGAGAGAGAGAAAGAGAGAGGAGCGATATATATATATATGTATATATAGAGGAGCGTTCAAATAAAAATGAACAAAATGAAAAAATTTGATCGGTTGAATGAGTTTTGTACGGTTTCTACAAATAACATGGTTTGCAAAGTAAATCTCATATATATATATATATATATATATATATATAGATATATATATATATATGTATATATAGAGGAGCGTTCAAATAAAAACCACTCAATTTGTAAAAATCGTGAAAACTTCATTCAACCAAACATAATTTTTCATTTTGTTCATTTTTTTGTAATTATGAGAGGTTGATTAACCATTTTTATTGTAGAGGGTGTTAATCATGGATATTATCATCTTCATTATTTTAATTTAAGAGAAATACATGAAATAGTTTCATTAGAATTTAATTAAATATTATATGAAACAATTTCATAACCATATATGAAACAAAATTCATCAAAAAAAAAATATTATATGAAACTATTTCACAAGATTAAACAATTTCATGAAAAAATTTCATAAGATTAAACAATGAAATCGACGTATGATGGTGGTTTGTACGGTTTTTACAAATGAGAACGCTCCTCTCTCTCTCTCTCTATATATATATATAGAGAGAGAGAGAGAGAGACTTGGGATCATGTGAGACCAACTTGTTTTCATAAGACCCGTGAGACCACCTTTCTACATTTGAAACTTCACAGCAAAATGCTGTGAAGGTGACTTTTTTTTAACCTTCACAGTGTTTTTGCTGTGAAGTTTACGTGTAAAAATGTGGTCTCACGGGTCTCACGAAAACAGGCTGGTCTCACGTGAACCCAACCCTCTCTCTCTCTCTCTCTCTCTCTCTATATATATATATATATATATATGGGCCTAATCAAATGAGAACTAATTAGTGTGTGGTAACTGTGAGAACCAATATTAACCACAAATCAATAGATAAATTAGGAAATTTATAATTTTGGCAATTTTGAATTAAAATTTTAATGCAAAGATATTTTTGGTATTTTACAACTTTCCTCCCTCCTCTCTTCTCTCTCCGGCCACCGTCCTCCGGCCACCGTCCGCCGGTGATACTACGATGGTATCACAATGCATCATATATGTGCTTGGGTATCACATTGATGTCGTTTGTGTGATCGATCGAAGATGTAACACAGTGGTATCACTATGCATCTTATATATGATTAGGTATCACAATATATCTTTTGTTTAACAGAGTCAATATTTTTAGGTATCACAGTGGTATCATAGTGGTATCACCGGAGGACGGTGGCCGGAGGCCGGAGAACGGTGGCCGGAGAGAGAAGAGAAGAGTGAGGAGAGTTTTAAAATACCAAAAATATCATTGCATTAAGATTTTAATTTAAAATTACCAAATTTATAAATTTCCTAATTTATATATTGATTTATGGTTAATATTAGTTCTCACAGTTACCACAAACAACTCAGTTCTCCCTTGAATAGGCCCCTATATATATAGGGTTGGGTTCATGTGAGACCAAAGGTTTTTCGTGAGACCCATAAGACCAATTTATGTTCATTGATCAACTTTATAAGTTAATGATCTAACGGTTTAAATTGGACGATGGCAATTTGGTAATTATTAAGAAATCTCGTGGCGTTTATGAATATTTATATTTTGTCAGATTATAAATCTAATCCAAAGATTGAGAATTGGTCTTACGGGTCTCACGAAAAACAATTGGTCTCACATGATCTCAAGTCTATATATATATATCTTAAAGTGCCGATTTGATTTGAATACTTACTATCTGAAATTTATGCGGCAACTATTGTTCTATTTTATATATATGAATTTTTCTCATAAACTGTATACAATAATGCAGGGGTCCGATGGCACAAATTTTATTTGTCGAATCCTTAGTTCAAACTTCGGCAACATTTGCTTCAGCTTTTACCAATCTCACCCCTCCCTTCACCTTTATCATTGGTGTTTTGTTTGGGTAAAATTTTCCAACACATTTCTCACTTTGGTATGGTATGGATATGATCATACAATAAAATCCTCTCATTCACTTGAATACCCTTCTAAAATTCCTTTTAACAAATTGTTGGTCAATTACTCATAAATATATAGAAAACGATTGTGAAACTTATCGATCGTCACAACCTTAAAATCTGTAGAAAAAAACTCCCATATCCCATTTCTATCTATTTCCCATCAAGATATGTCACAACCCCCAACTCACTTAACCTTCTTATGTAAACGTTTGGCCTACATGCCAATCGTTAATTTCTTAAAAGATGAATGAGTTTAAGTTTGGAGCTACCAATAATTTACTTCATAACTGTATGTTGATTTAGAATTTGGCAAGTTTATGGACTTTGAGCTTCACGATGTTACAATATCTTTATGGGCACATATATCATAAACACTAACAAAACATCATTAATAGATATCGAATTCGTCAAGCGTTTTCTTTATTATATTCATGTATACCAGATGTACCGTCCCCTTTCAAATAAGAATGATGTATGCAAACGATAAAGCATCCTATTATGATCTTACTTCCTCGATAAAATTAAACTTGATAGTTGTAACGCAAGACCTCATACAACAGACTTATCTAGTAACTTTCATGATGGCATATGTTGTCACCCCTACCCTTAAATTGGTAACGTAAAGGTTTGGCCTACACACCCATAAATCGATTCCTGAGAGATGAACGAGTTTAGGAGCCTACAACTTTGTTCATAGTTTTAAACTGAATTAGAAATCGGTTTTATTTGGTCTATTAACTTAACTAATATAAATTATAACTTATGAATTTTTGGACCAATAAGCATTGAGAAGGTGAAAATAGGTACAAAGGGAGGCAAGGCAAAGGTGATTGGAACTCTTGTGGGGGTGGTTGGAGCAATGGTTCTTACTTTCTACAAAGGTCATCAGCTCAACATTTGGTCAACTCATGTCAACATTCTGCATGGGGGTCAACATATGCATGGACAGTACGTGGCAGCAACCCAAAAGACTTCTATCCATCAGACCGTTGGCTCTCTATTGGGACTGGCTTCTTCTCTTTCTATTGCCCTTTATTTATCGCTTCAGGTATTAGGTTTAATAAGATACTTAATATTATCAACTTTGGTCAAGTATCGTATGGTAGGAAAGTTATTGTGAGAAACGAATTAATGCGGTACATTTTGGTGCATTTTATTAGTATTGACATTCAATTAGAACTGATCTAAGAGTGGAGATATCTTTCCACGTTTCTCACCATAACTTCCCTTCACACTGGAACTCAACCCTATGAACTTATTGATATTTATATTTTTACAACGTACATTTTCAACGAACAGGGTAGGATGAGCGCGAATTATCCATGCCATTATTCAGGCACGTTTCTATTCATTGTAATGGGTCTCATACAATCGTTTGTTTTTACCCTTTGTACCGAAAGATCTTGGAGTGAATGGAAGTTGGGTTGGAACATTAGATTGTTTGCCGCTCTTTTTACGGTAATAAATTATCTTTCGGTTGTTTTGAACATCTGATTAACGTGAAATACATTAAATCTTGATTCATTTGTATTTGTGACAGGCAATAGCTTCATCGTTGTCAATTATATTCATCACGACATCTGTACATTTGCAAGGTCCATTATTCGTGTCAAATTTTAACCCTCTGATGCTTGTATTCGTGGCAATAGCCGGCTCCCTTGTACTTGACGAAAAGTTGCACGTGGGAAGGTAAGCAAATTCCTGATATATATGTTGCCATTGCTTGGTATAGCATATAAACCAGTCACATACTATAATAAATTTAGGTTTATTAGACGCCAAAATTGTTTAACTGTCTTAATAGACAATTCTATAAAACTTAAGTTTATAGGACCAAAGTGTTATAAAATAGTATATTATGACATTTAAACAAATTTAGCCTCCAATAAACTCGATCTTGTTGTAGTGACATTTACACACAGTAATTAATTGTTGATGTTTTCACATCGTTAAATTGTAAGCAACATTCAATGACATATTGTCGTTTGCAGTGTAGTAGGATCCATCATCATTGTAGCAGGATTGTACGTGATGTTATGGGGTAGAAGCAATATGAATAGGCTGTCTAAGCAAATGCCTGTGACGTGTTCAGAAAATGTGAATGATGTCTTAAACAATAACAACACCACGATCACTCCTACTCGTACCTCCTTTTTGACTACGAATGAAAACAACGAGTTGCCTATATTATCTACAAGGGTAAAAGAAAAGGAGCAAGAAGTTACTGAAGAATAAAGTGTAGAAAATAAAAAGTTTGTATGTTCCATCTGAACGATCAAAAGAAGTAGAAAGGTACTGGTTTTTATTTGCTAGTAACCTATGTTAAGTGTGGTTAATGTGAATATAGAACTTTTAGATCGATTGTTCAATTGAAATGGTTTTTGAGTAATTTTATATCAGTTTTAACCTATATATTATATATAGAGACGCGTAATTATTTTAACTTATTAACTTTATAAACTCATCTGAGTCATTTTCTTATCAACGATTACGGTTAAATTGATGAAAGAGAATAAATTAAATGAAGGGAAATTTTGGAATAAATTATGTTTATTTTTGGAAGATAAATTCGGTTATTTTTTGAATTAAATTCTTTTTCTTTATCCTTTAAATTCAGTTTTAATTTCATTTCTCTCTTAAATTCGGTTTTACTTCCGCTTTATCCCTTAAATTAGATTTGAAATTAAATTCATTTCTTTTCCTATATAAACTTTGGTTATTCCAAAAAATTTACCAACGTTCATAGGTGAAACAATGATTATTATTTAAAGTTCATAATGTTGTTTCATGTATGATTTTTGGTTGTTCTAAATTTTTTTACCAAAGTTGATAAGTAAAACCAAAAAATGAATAAGATAATTAAAAAAAATTAAACGTTTATAAGTGAAACAATGATTTTTTTTAAATTCATACATGTTCTTTTTGGTTAGAGATTCAGTTTGTGTTCTGAGTATGAAAAAACAGAGTTTATGATAGGGACCACTTTCAAAACAAAATAAAAATCACAAGAATGATTTCTAGACTTATATTAGTATGTTTTACAAATTAACTTAATATTTCATAAACATTTAATACAAAGTCATGTAATTGATTTAAATTCAGTTTATTGACTTTGTAATTGATTAAAATTCAGTTTATTAGTTTATTTAATAATTAAACTGATTAGTAAATTAATTGTTACAACCAATTGTTATTATCGGGATCTAAAAAAAGGGATGGACTTGGTATAGTATCAAGTTTTTTTCTTCAATACCGTGTACCAACCAATTAATTAGTACGTAAAATTGTATGTCGTGTATCAACCAATTGTACTTGTGTAACACTCCAAGATCACATTTGCATATAAACATATATTTCCATATATCAAGAAATATAATTTACAAATTTGGTCTCATTATCTACAAAAGCTACATTATAAAAGTAGCTACCAAATTTTTTCACTAAATCCCTATACAAAACTTGTATACATAACAAGTATTCGAATACAAATATAACACACAACATCTCATGCAAGCATATATAAACTCTTCACAATTTTCTCTTCCTCTTATCGTCCGGTTGTGTCCGGCCTGTGATACACATTTTCAAAACACCAAAATGAGGGTTAGACCTTAAGGTCTAATGAGAAATCTCTTTATTTGCTATGACAGGGTGAATAATCATCAAAACAATTTATTAATTTACCCTTTGCTTTATTTTAGTAAATAACATTAATTATCTAAAATGATTGGTTTATATTGGACCTCACAGTTACCACAAACTTTCTAGTTCTCATTTGATTAGGCCGCTATATATACACACATATATATAGGGAATTAGGGTTCATACGAGAACTTCTGTGATTTATGAAAATACGAGAACAATCTCTAATCCGAGCATTGTGTTTTATATCATATTTCAAGAGAAGTTAAAAGATTTTTTCAATTTTAAATAAATATAAAAAAATAAAAAAAATACTAAAGAGGTTGAAGGGTAAAATTGGTACTATTAAAATTCAAATAACATGATGAAGATTTTTTCAATCATCTGGGGAGTGATGATCATCATTGTTGACAATGATTATCACAACAGCACAACGATAGTAGGCCTAGTAGGATAAATTGAAAACAAGGAAGTAACAGGTTTGGACGAGTTAGGACAAGCGCACAATCGACTTCGAAGGCGTCGAGGAAGAAGATCGAAGGTATGTTTTTTAATAATATAGCTTAATCACATATTATGATACTTCGATTAAGGTTAGGTACTTGTCTGTAATCGATTAGGGCTTCAATGCTTGAATTCTATCGATTAGAGATTCAATTAATGAGTGTCTATCACAGACTTATCATAGTTGAGAGAACTGACGAGAAATCGAACAGGGCAACTATGACAACTCCAGAAATCGAACTGGACAACTATGATAACTCCAGAAATCGACACCGTACGTGTACAATTAACCCGTTTGATCGATTAGGCCTTTAACACATATTTATCTCATATTTAACACCATATAATTGATTCGGCCATATATACCGTGTAAGTGGATTAGGCCTTTATCACTTACTTATCACAACACATTCAATAGCACAATATCATAATCAAACAGGTTTGTATCACAACACATTGAAGAAACGTGTTCGATTATCACTGTGAGAGATTCACATTGAGGGAGCGTGTTCGAATATCACAGTGAGAGAGCCACATATTTATCATTGTACAAATAGGCTATCACATATTTATCACATAACATTAAGGGAAGTTGTTCAATTATTACTATGAGATTATCACATATATTCATCATAACACATTCAATAACACAATAGCATAATCGAACACGGTTTTATCACAGTACATTGAGTGAACGTGTTCGATTATCACTGTGAGAGAGTCACATATTTATCACAACACTTTTAGAAAGCTGGAAGCGAGGAATCCTAGTAGTTCTAGGTCTYCGTTTTCTTCAGGTAAAGTCTCTGAGTCCATTACTATCCTGGTCGAGTTCATTTATTCGTTTTTTTAAGAACTCACACTATGGACTATCACATATTTATCACAAGATTGAATATGCAAATACAAAATATCACAAGATCGAATATGCAGATACAAAAAACTGAGAATACCACAAGATTGAAAAAGAAAATATTATATACAATGATATAATATCATATATTTTAATTAATATATAAAAATAAATATTATATATAACGATATATTATTTATAATTAATATCATTGTGAGAGAGTCATATTTATTATCATATTATATTTTAATTAATATATAATAAATAAATATTACACATAATGATACATTTTACAATTTTTTTTAATATATATATATATACATGTATAGTAAAATAGAAAATTTATTTTTTTATTTACGTACTGGGTAAGATTTTAGTCCACAAAAACGACATCCTATGCAACAATTTACCTGGTAAGCGCTCACCGTAGTAAGAGGCATCGCCCTCACTTACCGGGTAAGATTCATGCTCCTTGTCTCGTTTTTACCGGGTAAGATTTTCAGTCATTACTATATTAATCCGGTTAGTTAACATGACTTATAGTAAGCACTTACTTAGGTAAGTGTTTGGTAAACGGCCCTTAAACAGGGTCTTATGTATCAGCTTATTCAATTATCATAAAAAGGAAAAAAAATATAATATCATGTATCTACTTAATTATGAATTGGCCTTTAAATATTTTAGAAACCAACATCATAACAACAATCTAAGACAACTGAGACTTCCTCCAAGAGGTCTCATGTTTGAGGCTCACTTGTTACAAGTGTTTAATTTTTTATCTATTAAATGGTTTTGTTATGAAATTCTCAAAAGTAGAAGGATGTTTTCAAATATTTTGAAATTGAAGGGACTAAACTGAAGTTTTATGAAATTCTAATAGAACTTCTCTGAACAACGAGTTTTTGTTCTCACTTCTATTCTGAGGAATCATCCATCCTCTCCTCTGGTTCGATGCTCCAAGCATGTTATTAGTTACAGTTTACTTATTTTTCTTAAATTGTTTTAATTTCTGTTAAACTCGATTTCAATCAGATAATAATGAATTAAACATTAAAAACAACAATCTAGAGATCAAAACATCATGTATATTGATAAACTCTCTCAATACAAGTTTCTCTCTCTAAGCTAGATTCTCAATGTATGCATCTATCTCTAATTACAATTACCATTACAAAGATATATTTATATGATTGACTAAACATACAAATCAAACTACATTTAAGCTCGAATTATAAAGTTAACTTTTCACTAATGTTGACAAATTTGACTTTTTTTTACTCATGTTGACTTTCACTTTGACTCCTTTATTCTTCAACGTAATCTTTGTAATCGGTGATTTTGGATACAATAATATTTGATCTAACAGTTTCACTATTGATTTGCCTTATTTACCATAAATTATAGGTTTGCTCTAAATTGGTTTTATTACTTACGGATTTGTCCTAAATTTTAGATTAGGCAAAATGCACAAAATAGCAATTTACTTTCATAAATTTCTTCATTATAGCATTGTACTTTCAGTTTTTCTTATTACAGCAATGTACTTTCAAACTATTTTTTATTAGGACATTGTACTTTGAAAAATTTACCCATTATAGCATTGGGTAACCTTTTGATTTAAATTTACCCATTATACTAGGTTTCCATGCCACCTCATTGTCCACGTAGGCTGTTCACATGTACTATAGTAATATAACTTTCTTACTATATCATGTACTTTCAAAATTATTTTATTATAGCATCTACTAGTTCTTATTAAACACTGTATTTTATTTTAATATTTAGATATTTTACATGTTATTTAATAAAGGTATTAAATAAATTAAAAAAATTATAAATTATTCATTAATATACTAATATCAATAAAACTAGTAGAACACAACTTACCTCGCTAATATTTTTCAAAAATATGTTTTTTTTTAAAAAGAAAAATAATTTTATCAAAAAATATTATCTTTTTAAGAACATACTATATTTGTTCAAAAACTTTTTACTTGACGTATAAATATATTAAATTAATTAGATTTTTTTGTATAACAATTTATTTCATTAATATTTAAAAAAACTTTAAAAGATATGTATTTATTTRAAGAACATAAAATAGGAAAAGTTACATTTTTTACAAGCAAAATATATCTCGAAAATAATGTTTCATGTTTATTTAATAAATATCTCTACGAATATTTAATTTGCATGCAACTTAATAAGAAAAAAAAAATTAAATGTTTTTTTAGAT